GACATGTTTTACTGGAAATCTTCAACCTTTCCACTTTGGGCAATGATGCTATCTGAGAAAAAACAACTTTTGCCAGATTGCAATTTTTTCATATCAACTAGGGGTCTCTGCTGCAAAACATTCACCATCAGGTTTTAGTTTTGCAGAAACCTCTCCACTGCAAATTCATTACACTGACTATGTATTTCCAATGTATTTTAAATTACTGTATTGTTGATTCCGTTACAAATTTAAGACATCCTGCAAAAACTCTTGTATATCACTTCATGTTTGCAAGTCCAACATGCTAGTGTGCTAATGTTAGGGGATTGACTAGACGACATTGTATGTACCTTGTTTAATTCTTGAATGAAATATGTTCTGATTTATACTTACAGGGAAATAGATGGCATATCAAGAGACAGGAACAAGTGAGTTCTATAGCCCTATGTTCTTGTTGACTATACATTGCTGTAGTTGGTTACCCAACTGTGTGGCCCAAGGGCTATAGAAACAGAGATGTGAACTGCCCTACACACTGAAAGGAATATAGCAGAGGACTAGCCACTGGTATCTGGTTAGTTGAGTTGAAAGGAAATTTGCACAATCTTTTAACTCCAAAGGCTCTATTGCAATGTGAGCACATATCATATAATGTATCACATGTATTTGTAATCTCCCATACAGAGCCTCGCACCAGCCAGTTCTGTCCTTCTCTGCTGACAGTTTCCTCCATCCCTCACAGAAAGGTAGGCTACACACGCTTCAAACTGGAACAGATCTCATACCTCTGTGAAATGTTCAGACTTTTTGTCAATTTCTTCTTTTATTCATTACTCAGATTTTCTTGTAGATTCTGTCAATGCATTTTTGCACTGGCTTCCATATGGCAACAGACCTGCATATAGCAGGAAATGTAAGACAGGAAATGAGAAATGAACCTTTTCTGGGACCTTTGACATAACTTCCTGTCAGTGTATGCCTAGCAAGGAAGGCAGGCAATAAAAATCATTTCCCCCTCTTGTCCTTTTAAACTTTTAAACTGCATCATCTTGTTACTTACCCTTAAATGATTTGGTCAAAGAAAGTTTTTGAGGTCTGTACTTTCACAACAGGTACAGCAACAACATCCATTTCCTCAGACCTAATGAAATTGATTTAATCCATTACACTTGAAATTTCCCATGCTAAGTGAGAACAGAAGAAGTTCCTCATGACAAGGGAGGGATTGTAGTGTTGAAGTCCAGCTGGGTAGGATCTCTCTGCACTAATCTGTGTCAGGACACTGGCTGGACTCCTGCCATCCCCTCCCCATGTTTGCCAGTTCCTCTTCCCAGAAAGGAGATATTCCCAAGTGCCATGCTACCCTGGTTCACTGGACACTAGTGCTGAATGGGCACCCATTCAGCAGGACTGTCCAGTTTGGCAGGGAATCAGGATTGCCAAGATTCAGTGTCCTCTGAAGATCAAGTTGACACAGGTGTTCTTTGCTGATAGAGTCTACATGTAACTTTTCCTCATGATACTTTCTGATGTTTTAGAAGTACCACATTTTGGAACAAACTACTAGAGGGCTGGAACCCTCACCACTACTGCACTTTTCCCTACTCATTATCAGCCCCATCCCTCCCAGTACCTGCCAGTGCAGCTGTGTACACACCAGTTTGTCATCACAACCTACTTTTCCACCCACCTCAGTCTGAGGCGATCATGTTTGAGCTGCTATTTTTAGAAGCCTCAGAGGAAAGGACTCTCCTCAAGGCCTGGGAATAGATGTTTACTTCCCCTTCATCTCTGATTGATATCCAGGACAGGAGGGGGACTGACCCAGTATTCCATACCTACACCCATGGTCCAAATTATGGGACAGAATCAAAACTTTTCTGGCAAAGAACAGAATCAAAACTTTCAAGCAATTCGTTGGCTGGCTAGGACTAAGGGTTTTTGGTACTGATAATGATGAGTGGTACTGATGCTGGGGATGATAATGTGTGGTACAGTTGATAATGATGATGTGTGATACTGGTGATAATGTGTGGTACAGTTGATAATGATGATGTGTGATACTGGTGATAGCTTTTTTGTACAATAACTTTTGTACAATGATTTGTGTGTGTTTGCTGTCCAGGAGGGCTACCAGACATTGTGGTGGTGGGTGTGAGCCAGGCCCTGGATCTCAACTTGCAGTGACTACATGTACTTCAGAACAGTTCCAGTTGTATCAGTATACCCTCCCATACATCATCAAGTCATTCCAGAAGGTGGAGCGTCTTCCAGTGACAGGGTCACATGGACTTCAGCATAGACTTACCCTCTTGACCTCTTCCCTCATGACCTCAATTCATGAAAAGTGGCCTGCAGGTCGATTTGAGCTGGCCTGGTTACCAAACCTATTATAGCTGCTGAGTCCTACATCCTCTCCGCAAATTCAGCAGCTATAATAGGTTTGGTAACCAGGCTAGATTTGAGTTTCTCATGAATAAAGAATGGTTAAAAAAAAGGGCATTGGAAGAGTCAAGAGTCAAGACTAATGTAAAGGTAGTCTTATTAAACTGTGCTTGTAGTACTTGCTCATCATCATCATCATCATCTATTGACCCAAGGAACCCAGTGTTTGCCATATGTAGACTACATGTAAAGGCAGGAGGGAGCATCAAGGATGCCATGAAGATGCCTTGAGTGTAGTTGTAGTGATACTTCTCATACTCTCTGGCTGTAGCTACCACACTAGGGCCACTTTTTACACTTCTTGAATAAAGGAATAAAAGACTTATTGTCTGTGATACCATATCTTGTCCCTTCAATTTTGTTATAACATTTGTAGCCAAAAACTTTTATATGTCTATTTTTTTTGCCCATCTTGTTTTTTTTTCAGCTATCGCATTAGATTTTGAGTCTACAGGGGATGCCATGGTATACAATGAAAATGTACAACATTTTGCACAGCATTAGATTCATTAGCCTCTACCAGGCTTGAGGAGGCCCAGTGGGGCGGCGAACTGTTCTCTCAACGGCCAAACTCCCTTGGCATGCTTATCTCTCTATTTTGGCCGATTTCTACTTTTTCCAGCCGCCTCCTCAAGCCTGGTAGAGGCTATAGATTCATTAGTGCTGAGATAACTACAACAACAGTTGGGGTTCTAGGTTGTAAAGTATTGAGGGGTTCATTCTGAATGTCCAATTGAATGACCCTAGTCATCAGTTGAGATGATGACCACAGTATTATGCGAATGAATGGACACCCAGAATTTGGGACAGAATGTGTTTTGTGCCGACTTCTGTCCAGTTGTCCAGAATGCAGGTGAAACAAACACAATGGACTGGTCATCTCTGGCCTAGTTTCTTGGCACGTGTGCTGACGATCAGCAGATATCTTGACCAACAGGATGTTGGCTGGCCCACTTGCTGACCATCTGATGACCTACAAATTAGTCCGTACAATGACCCCTCCATACTGACCCATAAGATGGCCTTTTTTCCCATAGCAAAC